AACATAGACTTGGTCATAGATGATTAAAAGGGTCGAGCCAAAAATTAGAGAGAAGATACTTATGCATCAAGCCATTGTAATTAGTGTTAAGTATTTTGTATTACATCAAATTTAATACTCCCTTCGTCCCATATTTATTGTCCACTTTTGACTTTTGAAGTCTTTATTCTTCAGCTTTGACCTTAAATATGTTCATGTTTTATATATAATACTTGAAGAAAAATATATGAATGGATTGTGTTTTAAATATGTTTTCATTATTGTAAGTTTTATTAAGTAATATATAACACAAATAAAAATATTTAAGGTCAAAGTTGAATAATTATGACTTTAAAAGTCAAAAGTGGGCAATAAATATGGAACGGAGTTAGTATTATTTTATTCATAACTAGTTGTACGTTAAGCTTAGAGACTTGAACATCTTAAAAAAAATAATATTATTATATTGAATCTATTTATAGAAATAATGAGAGTATATATATATATATATATATATATATATATATATATATATATATATATATATATTGAAACATCCCAAAATACGGTCCAAAAATTTCATTTTTAATTATTAAATAAACCATAGTTACCAAAATCATTTCATCCAAAAACATAAGTCATCGTATCAAATCAGAGTATCGTATCGAAACACATGTCAATATATTAGAGTAAAACATCATAGGCTAAACAAAATGATGTGTGCAGTGCAGTCATCCCAAGATCTTCCCCTTGCTACCGGAAATACCTGAAACCAAAACTGAAAACTGTAAGCACAAAGCTTAGTGAGTCTCCCCAAACTACCACATACCATATACATAATCACATAATAACATATCATGGGCCTTGCCCGCTACATCGGGCCCCGCCTGGCATCGAGCAAAGCCCGATATACATATATCATATCAACAAATACACATAAATAATCACATAACATAAACATATAAACATTCCTCGGACCCCGCCTGGCATCAGACCGAAATCCGGAAGCATATAAACATTCCTCAGGCTTTCCCTGGCATCGGACTGAAGTCCGGAAACATACAAAACAGACACATGCAAGAATCACGAAGACATCAAGCATACAAACATTCCTCGAGCACTGCCCAGCATCGGATCGGAATCCGGAAACATATAAACCTACATCGGGCCTTTCCCGACATCATACCTAAGCCCAGAACATACTAGCATACATATACGGTCCAACATTGGTGCCTTCGACCCGTTCATACAGGAGAAAACTCACCTCGCACTGTTGAAGTCCCGCGAATAAATCTCTAGTTGTTGGATGACAGATTCCCGAACTGTCAACATCAAATCAACACCCAATTAACCATTTGGGTTTCAAAGCATAACCATAAATTCACACTTGGGGTAAAAGGACCATTTTACCCCTATCCTAGCTTGGTTCAAGACCAAGGCCCAATTTCACACTTTGAAAGCCCAAAAGCCAAATAATCAACCAAGGCCCAACATATGGCCCAATTTTCCAAATTGGGCCCAAACTTCTACATGGTCTTATCTTACTGCCCAACCATTTATTCTAGTCTAAACACTTGGCATTCTGATGGTCCAATATCTCATAATCATCAAGGCCCAATTATGGCCCATATATGGCCCAATTTTCCAAATTGGGCCCAAGCCTTTCCAATGGGCCTTATCCTAAAGCCCAATCCAAATATTCAAGTCCATATACTTGTTCTTGGATGGCCCATCAATAGCCCAATCACCAAAGCCCAACAGAAAGGCCCAACTCAAGGCCCCAACCAAAATCAGGGTTTCTCACATGAAATGACGATTAGGGTTAAGTGTTCTTACTTAACCCATTAAGGACTTAACCCATTAATTCCAATATTACGTTAAGATAATTATAGGGGCATTATTATGTATTATTTAGAAATTTAATTAGTGACTTCAACGCAGGTCCCGACAATCCAAAACTAATATCTTCCAAAATTAGGGTTTTCTAAACCCTAATTAGGGTTTCTAACCCAAGCACATGCCAATTAGTCAAACGGTTAGGCTTTTAGGTTAATTAGGGTTTCATTAGGTCGAGCACCACCCACTTCCACCTCGGGCAGTGGTGGTCAACGGCGGCAGCCACCACCTCACGGTGGTGGTTATGATTCAACTCCAATCATGTCCAAGCATCCTAAAAGCAATCCAATCGCACGCAAATGCACACCGCCACCCAACACGGCGGCTGGTGGCGGCAGAAGGCGACAGCCACAACCTCACGGTGGTGGTGGTGGGTTTTTCCTTGATTAATCCGGCCAAACATGAATCATTCCACATAACCCCATCAAATCCACACTTAAACACAATAAATCACACACACAGCCACCGCCACACTACGGCTAGTGGTGGCAGAGTGGTGGTACAAGGTGGCAGCGATGGTGGTTTTTCTCATTCTCCGGCCAATTAACACTCGCCAAAGGTATTGAAACACGCACACACCCACAGACAGAACACCCACCACGCAACAGCACGTCGGACATGGAGGAGGAGGACCGGAGAAACTAGCTACATCAGCGACGATGGACGTAGCTAGAACGTAACACCAGAAAAACGGAGAAGAATGGTGGAACCACGAGCGACAGTAGCAGCAACAGAGGAACGGAACCCGCTAGTGGTCCACGTCGTTACCGGCAAAGGAAACAGCGATAGCACTGGATGGCGGCTCGCACGGCGGCATGGTCGTCGGCTGAGAATGGCAGTTGCTCGGAGCTTCGACAGGTTGGAAATGAAGGAAGTCGGGTGGTCGCTTGGTGGCCGTTAGTTGGTCAGAAAACGAACTAAGTGAATGGTGGTGGCGGCCGGTGGTTAGGGGATATAAGGTGGTGGCTGATGAACATTACTAGGGTTAGGGTTACGGGGGGTGACAAGTTATATACCCCGACATCATATGAACTTCATCCCATGTTGACACAATCCTTTCATAATAAGTCCAACAATTACCAATCATACCTTGACTTCTAAAATCTTTTTCAAATTAAATCCATAGTTTACCAAACAACCCTCAGCATTCAAAATTCTTTACAAACTAATTTGGAAATTACATTTTAACCCCCAAACTCTCAATTGTGACTTTTTAACCCCCAAAACCAACGCCTTGCTAAATTATTCTGCATTTAGGACTACTATTCATTTATTAATTTTATCTATTTATTAATTTAATGAACGGAATGTTATATATATATATATATATATATATATATATATATATATATATATAGGGATGAGAACTCATAGTTTTATGAGAACTAAAGTTGGAGTGTTAGATCAAAATTAACTCATTAAGGACATGATCATCATCTTAACAATCTTATTTAATGTTTAATTTGTGTTATTAGAAAGATTAATAAAAAAAGTCTAAAACTTAACATAATAAATCAAATTTTCGGATTTTTTTTATAAAAGTAACAATTCATGGTTTCCCGATAACTAAAGTTAGAGTGTTATCAAAATTAACTTATTAAGGGTATGATCATCATTTTACCAATCTTAGTTAATGTTTAATTTTTTGTGTTATTAGAAATATTAATAAAAAAAAGTCTAAAACTTAACATAATAAATCAAATTTTCGAATTTTTTTATAAAAATAACAATTTTCAATTTTCTTAAAAATAAGATTTACAATTCGCAACCCTTGAAAACATGAACTTTTAAATAAATGAAAAAAATATTTTCTTTTCAAAAAAACTGCAATTTTTTAAAAACAATAAATTTTTAAAAATCAGTAAATGTAAAAAAAATGGAATACTACAAAAAAAAAAAAAAAAAAAAAAAAAAAAAAAAAAAAAAACTAACTTTTTTAAAAAAAAAAATCAACATTTGATGAGCGTATATACATATGTTTATTACTTATACTATAATATTCGTAAGTAAATCATAAAAAATTCATTTTTATTTACTAATCTATAAACATAATAGTACAAGTATTTTATTCGATACAAAATAAAATATAAAAAACAAAAAACATTATAAAATTTCAAAGTTTTTTCATGTCTTTGTGTCAAGATTTTTATATTTTTTCAATTTATCACTTTTCATCTCTTTCAATATTTTCCACTAATTCTTCGAAATCTACAAAAAAAAAAAAAAAAAAAAATTAATTAATACATGAAAACTCACAAAAATGTGTATATGTATATATCATATAAGATTCACATGTGATTATATGATATGTAAGATTCATATATGATTATATAATGTGATATTCACATCTGACTGTATCTTTTAAGTTCAAATGTGAAATAATAATAATATATATATATATATATATATATATATATATATATATATATATAACACGAAGAACACTCGTACAAAATATATGTGTGCATATAGACATAAATCATATGTGATTTACATGTGAATCACATATAAATACGAAAAAAACACACTTCCCTTGTATGTAATGAAATTTCAAATTCATATTCGTCCCATTCCATTCTACTAATGCAATGAACCATTCCCTTCCTTGAGTGATTCCATCCTACCAAACACATAATAAGCATCCAGCCCTCAAAAAGACATCATTGTAGGTCTTTTCTATAGCTAAAAGTGCAGAAACGGTTTCTTTATTTGTTGCAACATGAATATATAGCTTGGTTCAATGGATTTCTCCAACATTCCAATTTCCACATGAACATTGAAATGCTATTGGGAGCTTATCCTATCTTTTTTTCATGTGATTGAGTCCTTTAGCAAGAACTTGTAGATCCTTCAAACTATCCGGATTTGCATTACATTCATCAGCCACTTCATCTTTCCTAAGACCTTCTCCATCAAATTCACCATACTCTTATTTAAATGATTATACCTTTATTATTTTTGTCAAGAATAACTTGGTGGGTCACTTGAGGATTTTGACCCACTATTAGGATACAATTTTGTAGAGAGTATATATATATATATATATATATATATATATATATATATATATATATATATATATATTCTTTTTTTCGGATTATGCAGTTGTGGAAAGGATGTTATCCCTAAAATAGCCCATTAAATACGTCAGGATGAACAAAACATAAATATATCCTAATTACATCACAACTGAGAATGATAATATGAAATATGAAATCATATAGTTGAAATATGATATTGATGTTAAAAGAGGTTGCATTGAATTCAAGGAAAGAACCTTGTATAACTCACTACAAGGGAGAGTCCTTAAACAATTTTAGGAATGAATTTTTAATGAGGATGAGCTCATCATGTTCATCAACTAATTTTTTGTGACCAACATCCTACACAAACAGGTTTAAATATTGTTAAACTAATAGACATTTTCGAGCTCCATTCAAGACAATAATTTATGAAAAAAAATTACATTGAACTGCAATAAAAAGAACATGTTTGAAATTCAACTAAACAAAAACCACATATATCGGGAAAATGTTGAAACATTTAACATTTTTTTTTTAAAATAGCAACATAATTTAAATAATTTATTTAACTGTGATATCCTACTTTTACCTCTTCATATCACATCGGCTTGATTTTCAGTTTCAACTTAAGAGACTGTATCAGGTTGACTGTCTTCATCAGCTTGGCTTTCAGTTTCAGCTTATGAGGTTGTATCAACATGACTACTTCAACCTTCAACTCAACTTTTGAATTCTATTATTTTGAAGAATTTCTCAGAAACAAAAACATTGCAGCCAATTTATTGGATAGAATGACTTGTAAAATTAAATAATGAACCTCTCAACATAATTTCCCGATCCGTGACATGAACTAAAAAGCGACTTAATTACAAATGGTGTAGTTATAATTTGACATGTATTTTGCAGAATCAACTGTGATCTCTTTTATAACAGACATTACAAATCTAGAACATTTGAATCAGTGTCTATATATACATCTGTAAGACACCAAAATACAAGATAGTTTAAATATGGATAGATAAAAGATAAAGTTTACCTTGATTTTGGTCTATCATATATGTCATACAACATTCTTTTGGCGATATTTCTTCAAAATGGCTCTCCATCTGCAACTACCTGCACACAGCACATAGAGCAACATGGTTGGGTCAGATTACAGATTATAACTTCATAACCATGAGAATCAGCTATGTTTTGAGCTTTCAAGACAAAGAACTTGTGGTAACCATTTTTATATGAGGATTGTCATAAACTCCAAAAGTTATACAAAAAACAAAATTCTTAAGTGGGAAAAAGAAGTAAAGCGAATAGAAAAAACATTCACATGTTTGGAAACTAAACATAAGCCATTAAGAGGATTTAATAGATAAAAACATGAATGTAAAACAAAATGGAACCAGAGCTTGAAATGTCTCCACAACTTCTTGTATTGTGAATCTATACAACACCAAAAAATCAATCCAATGGCCCCAGAACAATGAACATAAAAAAAAATCATTATTTACTTAACAATAAACTACTAAAATATATAAATTCACCCGGTCTTGAGCTACTACAAGATGTTGTCTACTCCCTTAAACATATAACTAATTGTTACCATGTCAAAGGCATACATATTGTCAAAAAAAAAAAAAAAACATAAACCAAATAAACATAACTAATTGTTACCGATGGTGTGATTTCTAATAAGGGGTGGGGTTGCTAGCTTCCAGGTCAGCAAAACTAACCTTGATATTGAACTCTAAGAACAACATAACCAGGTTATGTCATGAAGAAACACTGATTTCAACAAAAGATTCACACAAAAATATATATTAAAAAAAATGAACAAAGGATTTTTTTAGCTTTTTAAACTATTTCATTATAAGTTGCAGGTTGTGATGGAATGGTAGACACCTTTCTGAATTCCATGAAGTTTGCAAAAAAACTCACAAAAGGTAAACCACACTCATTGATTTGCAGGTGACATCTCTTTTTTCTCAGTTGACAATAAGAAGAATGCTGCTATTGAACAAAGTAAAAGAATTCGACAACACCTTTACCTTTTTATAAACCGTTATTCGTTAATCTTCATATAATTTTTTTTTCTTCAAATTATAGAAACTTAGAATAGTCAGCATGGTTTCTGGTCTTACAATGCATAGTCTAAAGTTGATTCTTTTACAGTTTTGGTTCTAATTTTACAGTTCCATACTAAGTTTGGTATTGAAATGTTGAAATGTTAATGAAAGTCATGACACAAGAACTAGACCTGCATTTGAAGCCCGGCTTATTCAGGTATTATATAGGAAAATAATAAATGTAATATAATAATGTAAAAAGGGTGTTGATTACTTGATTTCATGTACAAAATTTTGATAAAAATTATCATGCAGTTTCATTCTAGCAGTGTTAAAAATTTGAAGTTAACACAAAAGAATATTTATCAACAACTTTTAAATTTTTTTACAGCAATCATCCACCACCTGCATTTGGTGTAAAATCTGCTTAATTTTGAGGCCAATAAATCGAATCAAGAAGGTGGAAACAAAGTTATGAGTTCCAATCAGCACTTATTTCAGTAATATTTCTGAGAAGGTTTGATTCTGCAAAGTTTCTGGCTTTTTTAAGGCTCTCAAGTTATTCAGTCATGGATTCCTTAAGTCTCTTATTTAATTTTTGCTTTTATTTAATAAGATAAGATAAATAGTTGGGTTAATGGAACAAAGCAGTTGGCGCTGGACCCAACTATTTATGATGCATTGATCAAGGAAAAGGTAAACTATAGCCATCTTTTTAGAATTATATGTATTTGTTTTTCTTTAATTATATATATATATATATATATATATAATATCAAATAATGGTGCAGTTAAAAGGGTAGGCAGGAGTGATGCTTTGCAAAATTGATGTTATATATGTATGAAAATCGATGTACAATTTGAAGTGAAGAATTGCAATCATCATCAATCTTTCTAACAACAAAACTACTAAATAACCTAACCATCATCTAATATTAAAAACTTACTACCTCCTCTTCTTGTCAGTTGCAGATTCATTCACGCTCTTCATCCAGGACTACTGCTGAAATATAAAAACGAACACACAAAAATAATTATATAATTATTTTTTACCGGTATATGTTACACACATGTCATTCTTAATTATAAGTTTATATCTAACCTTCTTCGTGTCTCATCACTGACTCCATCATCGTACGAGGATCCATATTATCCTGAAAAATTCAATGCATAAACATGTTTATGCTAGATCACACTACACTAAGCATTTAAGTACGTATTTGTATATATGTATTTGTATTTATGTATGTGTGTACCATATCATGACCACAAAGGTTTCTAGTTTTGTATCCAAAAACAAATACACTCCCGTATTTCCAGTTATGGGAGAATTGTACGTTTTTGTCGAACTTTAAAGAAAAAACTAGTTGTGAGATCCTCTGTGGTTGCATGATTCCTACAACATGTTTTTTCCCATTCAATGTCACGTACAAATGAAGGGGCTCGTCTCTTTCCTTCTTCACTTCACAAAGGGTAGCCTGAGTAACAAAAAACTTAGTTGGTTATATAACTAATAAAGCAAAATGGGCATATCTCATTTTAGCAATTTGTTTTACACCTGTGTAAGCTGAAAAAACTCGTCTTTATCAAGATTTATTTCAAAGGACTCGCCTGCTTTTAATTCAATGCCTGCATCAAGAAAATAAAATTATACAACTTCAAGAAATGGAACATATAACATTACAACATGAAACAAGACATAACCTAGTGCTAAATCAATTGATACAAAGACAACCAATTTATTTTCAAATAATGTTCTAAAGAATGCAGATAACGGAGTGTTCAGAGATGTAAAACTTAAACACCACTCCCAAATTTTAAGTACTACTACTGCAAACACCACTCCTCAATATAATCTTATAAATCCAATTTATTGCCTCAATTCTGATATATATATATATATATATATATATATATATATATATATATATATATATATATATATATGCAACACATAATAGACTACCAATTAACACTTGCACACCATCTTTCGTAAATACAAAAAGAAATCTCTTCAAAAGAACACGGGATCAAACAACCAGGCTGAAACACATACCGAAACAACCTTCAATACCAAATTACCAATAAAATGCAACGAGATAAAAACCAGCACAAATAATAAAATTGAAAATAACATATATACGAAGCATCTAATATTAACATGAAAATATAAACAAACAAAGCATCGCACGAAACGAGATCACGAGGGGAAACAGGCGAAAACGAAGAATATCATCAAGATAAATAAAAGTGAAGATTTGCGTTACCTGCATCATTATCAAAACCAAAAGAAGGCAATTTTTTTTTTATTAAAAAAAAAAAAAAAAAAAGCTAACAACATAAATGAAAACGGAAGACACAAACAATGAAGGGAGAAGATTGGTTACCAACAAATTCCATTCCAAGACGAACAGAAAAACTCGTGAGATAAGAAGGGGAGCGGCGGAGAGAGAGTGTATGTGATCAGAGAAATGTTTGGGGTTCGGGGAAACGAATACTGAGTTATAATTAAGGGAGTGCGTGACGGAGGTATGATAAGCTCGGTGAAGCCCTAATGTTTTGGGAATGAGAACCAATATATTAAAATAACTAGATTATAAAACCACGGTTAATAAATTATACCAAAATTAATATGGGGTAATTACTAATCTAGCCAAATTAAGGGGGTAATTAACAATTTTTAGCCAAAAATAGCCCACGAAACCTTCAAAATTCGCCTACTATTTCGCCATTTCGTCTACTGTTTCGCGTTTTGTATAAAAAAAAATTTTTTTTTTTTTCATTTTTAACATTCAAAACCGTAGGTTTTTTAAAACCTACGGTTTCCCAAACCGTAGGCTACGGTTTTCGCAAAAAAACTACTTTTTTTTAGGGGTTTTATCTACTATTTTGTCCAAAAAACTACGGTTTTAATTTTTTAATTTTTTTTTTTAAAAATTTTTTTTTATTATTTTTTTTGTAATATATAGTATAAAAAAAGTGTTTTTAATATGTACAATAACTTTAACAATTATTTTGTTTAAATTTTAACAATTATTTGGTTTGAATTATTTTGTTTTAATTTTAACAGTAGTCAACTCTGACGAAAATAGTAGACTACTTTTTGGGTAAAGTTGACTATTTTGTTGCTAAATTTGACTACTTTTTTGTTAAACTTAACTACTTTTTCGTCAGAGTTGACTACTGTTTTCAACCTATCTTATATATATTAAGTATTTTATATTTTTGGAAAGTTTATTCTCTCTAGCTTCTTAATCCTCAAAATTAAGATAATGAGTTGTAACGAGTATTTTGTATTGCTCATTACGGATGGAAGATGGGAGTTTGTTAATTCCCAATTATCATATGTTTGGCCACTGGGATACAATCCGAGAATGTTTTATTTAGGTGTTGAATTTTACGAAAACACAACGTTCACCGAATTTGTTCAGTTGGTCAAGTGCAAGATGGGTCTTCCTGAAGAATCAAAATTTAGTTTGGCCTATCAACATCCAGAACAACTCTATTATTGTGGTATTGTTGATGATCGTGATATTAGAAAGCTGATAAAGGTAATAAATGGCGTTGGAGATAAATATGTGTCTGTGTATGTGGTGGTTGAAGAAGGCGTTTGTCCGAACGAAATGGATGATAGAGGAAAGGCATCTGCAGCAAATTTATCAAGCGGAAAAGGGAGCAACAACCCAATAGGTAATTTTAAAAGTCCAAGTAAAAGTCAATATCATAGTGTTGCTGAAAATGTAAATGTAGTGCCAGAACCGATTATGTATGTTACACCGGAGAATTATAAGTATGTCGGTGATAATGATGTTGGTGCATATGTTAATCATGTTGGTGTAAATGAATCATTTGACAAAAAAAAAAGCAGTAGCCGTGGTGAATAAGGTCGGTAATGAATTTAGAAAACAGGAAGTTCCGTTTTTGCATGATGGTGAACTAAAAGGATATGGCGAGTTTGCGGATTGTGACAAGTTTGATATATCCGGCCTAGATAGTGATTCTAACGGAGAAGAATTAGATGACGAATCTAAGCTTATTTATTCAAATACCATGTTTCATGGTATGCCCCCTTTGCCTTCGTGTCCTGTAAATGCTGATGTGAACATTCCATGTCAGAGGGTGGATATAAGTGAAGAGATTAATGTTTTAGACATTTTTGATGACAAAGAGTTGCTCAAGCTTGCAATCGGAAGACAATGCATGGAACAAGGTAAGCAGTATAAGACTACCAGATCGAGCAAAGGAAGGTTCGAGGTTGTTTGTTTGGTTAAAAATTGCTCATGGATGGTTAGGGCAAGGGGAATCCAATCGACTACTGCTTTCCAAGTCACAAAAGTTGTTGACCAACACACATGTTGTGCGACAAATTTGGAGTCTAATCATCGACAATCAAAGAAAAAGGTACTCGGCCACTTTATCGCTGAAGTATTGGCCGGAGACTATAATAGAGTTTATCGGGGCAATGAAATTGTTAGGGACATCAATTCGAAATTTCCAATCAATATCTCATACCAACAGGCATGGCGTGCAAAACAGTATGCGTTGTTGATGTTAAGAGGTACCAAAGAGGATTCATTCACCAAACTACCAGTGTATCTGCACAACTTGGTCAAGCACAATCCAGGAACTGTTACTCAGATAAGAGTAGACGATGATGATCGGTTTGATTTCGTGTTTATCGTGTTGGGTTGCTCGGTAAGCAGTGTTAATTTTTATAACAAATATAACATATGAATCCTAATTGGTATTTGTTAATGCAATAAAAAATAATTGTAGGTACGAGCGTTCATCAAATATGGTGGTCACCTAAAGGGTGAATTCAAAGGCACGATGTTGCTCGCAGTGACAATGGACGGTCAAAACCAAATCATGCCTGTTGCTTATGCCATTTGCAAAAGTGAATGTACTGAGACGTGGTCCTGGTTCCTTCGAAAGCTACGTGAATGTATAGGCAACTTGGAAGACCTTACAATCATATCTGATAGGGCTCCATCCATAGCGACGTCAATTGCAAATATATTTCCTCTCGCCTATCATGGAATATGTGGTATCTATTTGTATTTCAACATTTCAGCAAAATTTGGAAGCAGCGATACAATTCACGCATTATTTTGGGAGACATGCAAAGCCTATACCATTAAAAAATTCGATAATGGGATGAAAAAAATAAAAAATGTAAATATTCGTGTATGGGAATACCTACAAAACATCAACCCAGAAAGATGGGCCAGGGCACATTTTCCTGGGAATCGGTATTTTCTTATGACATCAAATAGTGCGGAGTCGATAAATTCAATGTCACGATTTGCAAGAAAGATGTCAATATTGATGTTGATTGAGTATTTTCGTGCAACAATGCAACAATGGAGTTTTTAGAAACGTAATGTTGTAGGTACTAATATTTTATATACATTGTTGATTGAGTATTTTCTTAACTCGTGTAGTAATAATTTTATGAAAAAATATGTCTATTTTTTTAGCTGAAACTAAAACAACACTTACCCAATGGCCTGAAACGATTATACAAGCAAATAAGAATGCTTGTAATAATTGGATGGTGTACCCTATCTCAAATAGCAGATTTGAAGTGAAAAGCTCTAACCACAAAAGTGACATTGTTGATTTCCAACAAAGAACATGTACATGTAGGCGGTGGCAAATAGATGGCTTACCTTGTGGCCATGTTATAAAAGTGCTGACAATGAACCGTTACGAAGATTGTTCGAAATTCGCTTTAAAAGCTTACTTTACATAAACATTGAGGAAAACTTACGAGGAGTCTGTAAACCCCTTACCAAGTCCATCTGAGTGGGAGATCCCCGATGATGTGATGACCGTGAAGCCACCCATAATGGATAGACGTCAGCCGGGTAGGCCAAGAAACACTGGACGTATTCTGTCGCAAGGTGAGCGTCCCATACGACAAGAATGTTCTACATGCGGTCAATTTGGACACACTAGGAATGATTGTACGGGTAGGGGATCGGGGAGCAGATATGGGGGGAGGAAAAAACCTACACAAAAGGGCATAATGACTGATGAGTTTGCATCCGGGAGCGGGTCACAGAACGAAAGCGTGTACCCTACTTTTGATTTCAATAGTACATTTGATTTGAATTGTCCTTAGATTAATGTAGGAAAGCAATGAATTCTCGTATTTGTAATTTTTATTGCTTGTATTAAAAAGCACTTCTGAGATTATTAATTAAATCTAGTACTCCACTTATTAACTCCTTTATTCCATGAAAAATAAAACACAAACATAAAATATTATAGAAATCGAGATACACCCTTACGAAACATTACATAAGACATTTCACATAAAAGAGCCTTCTACATGAAACATTTGTTATTTTTAAGTAGGATCCATGCATCCTCATACTCGAAGTCACTTCCCTCGTGCTCCAAAATGTAATGATCTTTAACCATTTCTAAAAGATCTTTGTCGTTGTTTGGATAACGATACCTGTTTTTAAGATGATGATACCATCGATTAAACCATGTGATTTTTTCCTTTAAATCCATCCACTTACCAAAAATATCTTCTTCTGTTTGGTGTTTTCCTTCTCCCAACGAGAGGTTAAACATGGCTGTTATGCGGGTCCATTCATCACCTTCTAAGCAATCAGGGTTAACCATGGTTACATCATCGTAAATGTTCAACCAACAACGTGTTACCACCATTACCTCTCTTATCGTCCATGGATGTGGAGTATTGGACGGAGCAACTGCGTTGGAAGAAGTTGGTTGATTGGAGGCCATTTTTTTAAGTTTTTTGTTAGTTTTTTATAATTTTATAGGAGTACTTAAATAAGAAAAAAGAATAACATCCAATTAGGTGGATTCCCATAAGTACTGTTTGAAACTACACTATGAAACCGTAGTCAAATAATGTCAAAGAGTAGTCCGATTGTCAGATACCTTACACGTAGATATTGTTTGAAACGACAAATATATTATTCGAAAAGACAATACATTATGCAGGCTACAAAGTAGTAGTCAAAGTCTATGAAACCGTAGTCATATAATGTCAAAGAGTAGTCCGATTGTCAGATACCTTACAGGGAGATACTGTTTGAAACGACAAATATACTGTTCGAAAATACTACATTATCCAGGCTACAAAGTAGTAGTCAAAGTCTATGAAACCGTAGTCATATAATGTCAAAGAGTAGTCCGATTGTCAGATACCTTACACGGAGATACTGTTTGAAACGACAAATATACTGTTTGAAAAGATAATACATTATGCAGGCTACAAAGTAGTAGTCACAGTCTATGAAACCGTAGTCATATAATGTCAAAGAGTAGTCCGATTGTCAGATACCTTACACAGAGATACTGTTTGAAATGACAAATATACTGTTCGAAAAGACAATACATTATGCAGGCTACAAAGTAGTAGTCAAAGTCTATGAGACCGTAGTCATATAATGTCAAAGAGTAGTCCGATTGTCAGATACCTTACACGGAGATACTGTTTGAAACGACAAATATACTGTTCGAAAAGACAATACATTATGCAGGCTACAAAGTAGTACTCAAAGTCTATGAA